ATTAGTCGCCTCTTACAGCAATCGTTGGTTGCTGAAGACCAATTCTAACCTGGATCTTCATGGGTACATAATTATGAAGCTGATTACTGAAATGCTTTTCAAAGGGGCTTAAAGTTCAGCATTCTTACTCGACTACCAGGGCAACCCTCCCCTTGCTACAAGAGGATGTGGGTGTAGCGATGCTAATAGAGCGTAGCATCCAAGCCTCCAGAGTATTGGAATCATATTGATCACAGTCATCCATATTTGAACAAGTTAGTTTACCATCTCGTGTAAGTCAGAACAAGTGTTGACTGTGATGTAAATCCTACCTTGAATATTTCCAGTACACTCGGGTTCACCTGCATTTTTCTAATACACTGTTTGTTTGGTTGGTGAGTTTACTGTTAAAAGATTGGAACAAAGAAAGCCAAATATCCCATGGGTAATAGTGCATTGGAGTGTATCTACTTACTTTTGTATTTAGAGAATGTGTTCATTTGTTGAAAGTACTTCATGATGATTGATCTGTCCCAGTGGATCTGCTCGATACAAGGTCCAGTTCCATAAAATGACCTCAGTGCTTAGTTGGTCATGTTTGTTTGTTTCGCGGTTGTTTTACGCAGCACTCAGCAATTTTCCAGCTGTATGGCGGCGGTCTGTAAATAATCAAGTCTGGACCAGAAAATCCAGTGACCAACAGCATGAGCATTGATCTATACACAATTGGTGATATGATGACGTGTCAACCAAGTCAGCAAGATTGATCACCCGATCCCGTTAGTCGCCTGTTACAGAAATCATGGCTTGCTGAAGATCAATTCTAACCCAGGTCTTCATGGATACTTGTACAAAATTATGAAGCTGATTACTGAAATGCCGTTCAGCACAATTACTCTACTACCAGGGCAATCTTCTCCTTGCTACAAGAGCACGTGGAACAGGTTTAGACATGCAAATAGAGTGTAGCCTCCAAGCCTCCAGAGCTTTGGAATCACATTGAGTCTGACCACCTGATCCTGTTAGTAACTTTCTATGACAAACAGGGAGTGAGTGAGTTTAGTTTTATGCCACACTCAGCAATATTCTAGCTATATGGTGTTGGACTGTAAATAATCGAGTCTGAACCAGACAATCCAGTGATGAACAGCATGAGCATCGATCTGCTCAATCGGGAACCGATGTGTCAACCATGTCAGCGAGCCTGACCACCCAATCCCGTTAGTCACCTCTTACGACAAGCATGGGTTACTGAAGATCAATATTCTAACCTGGATCTTCACAGGTCCTATGATAAACGGGTTGCTGAAGACCAGTACTAACCCGGATCGTTGTGGGGCTTAACTGGTCATGACTCTCATGCTCAACACAGACTTCTTACAGTTTGAGCCCCGAAATCTCTATGAAGAATGACCTAGCTCTGTGGCTGGGCTTGGGGTGAGTGTCCGTGCTGGAGTGAGGGTGGTTTTGACCGAGTGAAAGTGGGTGAGAAGAAGAATGGTAATGGGAGGGGTGAAGTAAATGTCAGGAGTACAAGAGATCTCACTTTGCATTTGTACTCTGGTCGGAATAATTATATCCCATGCTGATCGTAAACTGATTGGGTGGTCAGACTTCATGACTTTGTTGATCATGTGCAGTCATACCATGATGATGTGAATCGTTTATCATGACATCAGTCTGTTGTCCTATAGCTTGAATATTGATGAGTGCGGTGTTACATAACTTCTTTGAGTGGCATTTAGAAGTTGGTGTGATTAACAAACTGGGAGAGTTCTATGGATATACAACTTTGTTATTATTAATGTGAATGATGTTTCTGTGTAGCTACTATACTTGTTATCACTTACTTGATATCAGTGTTAGTAGCTACACCGTCACTCATATCAATAATAAAGATACTGTATATCCATAGAACTCTCCCCTTTGTTCGTTGTTTCACATGTTCAATTTAGATGGCATTTTGATGAAAAGACCACAGACTAGGCTTACATGTTCATACTGAGACGTTCACAATTGATAAAAAGTATTTCAATGATATGTGTAATGAGAAATCATTCCAGTGTCCCTATTTACCAATAGTACTTTCATGACAACTAACATTATCTTCATTGGATGAGTGAGTCATTGGAGCAATATGTTTTTGGTGTGCATCTGATTGGCATCAGTTCATTGTGATACTACTCTCCACACAGGTATCCTCCTTTCACATTCAAACCAACTCTCTGCTGGAATCAATATGTATCAAGGCTATGTGTGACAAATGCCCGGCAATATGACACATATTTACGGGACTGAAATCAATTGCAACAATGTAATGCCAAATCAAAATCTGTGACGAAAATCTGATATATATATGGCAACTCCTCACCTGCTGACGTTTTATTGACTGTACGATTGTCAAGCTTGTTAGTCTGTTCACACATATTGTAAATTCAATGGCTTAGAATGCTTTATTGAGTTTTCTCTGGCACATCAGAATTTTATGCTAGGAGGAATATTGGTCAGTGAGGAAGAAGCTCTTGCATGTAAACATTGATATGACTAAGAGTTGTTGAAGATATAAAGTTAAACATTTAGATTGTTTGTGAGTATTCTAAGTATTTATGTCATGATATGGCTGAAACACTGACATTAAATTTTAACTCACTCCTAGTTTTCAACGATGAAATCATGGGATACACATTCTCCTTGTTCCTTTCTTTCACATGATCATGTGGGCACAAGGGGCGGTGGGGTAGCCTAGTGGTTAAAGCAGTTGCTTGTCACGTTGAAGACCCGGGTTCGATTCCCCACATGGATACAATAGAGAAGGATGAGATTGGTTGAGATTGGTTCCCAACAAGCTAGTTGTAAGAGGAAACTAATGGATTTGGTTGTGTGACTTATGACTTGGTTCATTGTGTGACATTGTGCCCAGACCAGACTCAATAAGCTGTATTTGCTTTACCACAGGTGACAGCAAGCTTTATGACACGTTGCTCAAATATCGGATAGATATTGCCTCGATCTTAATAGAATCACATGTTTCAGGAAACGTTATTGAACAGCATGACATTGGTTAATGTCCCAATACTTCGGTTACAGTTATGAAGCATTTTAATGCTTCCTTTATTGAGCTCTCTTCCGATGTGTGTAGCTCTGTAGGTCATGTATTCAATGTATTGATACACATCACACCAGTAGCCTGAAGCAGCTCTTTGAGATCTAGCATCAAATTAGCCATCCATTCCAAATACCCCCTGGATGGACTGTCAATATAGGCTCTCCAAGGTGACCTATATGTGCATCTGGAAAAATATCCGGCACTGTTGACTGTCTAAACCACCAGAACCTACTTTCGACTGTCAATATAGGTGACCTGTTTGTCCACCTGGAGAAATGTCCTGCTCTGTTGACTGTCTTAAAACACCGCATTCTGGTTTGGACTGTCAATATAGCCTCTACAAGGAGACCTATATGTACAACTGGAACAATCTCCAGCACCAAGACCGCCTCCATGGTGTAGTGGTTATGGCGTCCGCCCGGAGAGCGGAAGGTCGCTGGTTCGATCCCCGACCGTGTCATACCAAAAGACGTTAAAATATGGTACTTGTTGGTCCCTGCCTGGCGTTTGGCATTAATGGGTACAACAAGGACTGGTCGGCTCGGAGTCAGTATAATGTGTCTGAGTGGGGTATTCATGCTTCACTGTGGCATGGTATCTCAGTGGGCAAGCACTTTAAAACCAGCTTCAGTCTGGGCTAGTACAAGCAGCCGCACATACACACGCATGCACGTCGTCATATGAGCGAAATATTCTCAAGCACGACATTAAACCCAATTTCACCTCACCTCCAGCACCAGTACACCAATGTCAACAGTTGTTCCCAAATTATATCCTGAGTTAAATTGCTGACAAAACATTTTTATGTATTTCCACAGAGTGAAATGTCTCAATGAAATATTGAAACCAAAATTGATTTACCAGTAGGATGTCTCGTAACTATTCAGTGGGAATAGTGTTTTAAGAACCCTTTCATCTTTCTTCATCAATGATGTGAACAAGTACTTTGGTCCATCTGGACCAACATCACTTTCATTCACAAAGAGTTATGCTGAGCTATTTCCAGGTGTCTATAGACATCCCTCTGACCAAGTAATAGCTGGAAGCTTGCCCACACCATCTCACTGTTAATGACTGCTGAAGCGTGGCAGAATAATTAGCTTGATGGTCATGCTCCGCTGGAAGATCGCTTCCATCGATTGACTGGTTTAACGCTGAATGCCACTGTGAGCATGGTCACTCATTTGATTGACCTTAGTCTCTGTTAGCCTATTCCATCCTTCCATGCCAATGATGATTATTTAAGTGAATCCACATCTAATGAAGAGGTTTTGGCTTGCTGCTTGGGTAGTGGTGTGTGGACGATTACAACTGCATGCCATAAAGTCCATTAGCGTTGTCGTCAAGTGATTCAGGGTACTTTGATCATAGGGGTGTCCTTATTTCCATTGTTGGGTAATTATTGAAAATTTCTGGATCCGCCTATGTGAATACCTATTTAAATTATTTCCACAGCCAGAATGTCATTTTGACTCAACTCGAGCAGTTTCCAGCACTGAAATAAGGTGAAATGTGATTGGTTGACGCCGGGCAAAGTATCCAATGAGAATTGTTGTTAGTTAGAGACATCGCCAAGTTTCTCACTAAAAAAAGCTGAGTCTGAGAGTTAAATGAAATCTGATGTTTTTGCATGTATGAAGAATCGAATCGAAAATGATTGAATCGAGGGTCCAATATTGAAAATGGAATCAAATCGAACGGAGGACTGGCTGAATCGCTGCAGCTCTAGTCTTATTCATATGACACTATCGTGATATAATCAGAAAACATTCTTGGTGACATTCTCTAGTTATGTGACACTTTTCGTCAGGAGGTCCCAACTGGAATTTAGGGTTTGGCTGTATAGAGGTATTCTTTTCAGATGAATGAAATATTTATTTTCTGGTCTGACCAAGATGTTTTCTGTTGCCTACAGGCTAGCTGTGACAGGTATGACTACTCCGCCTATCAGCGAAGTAAAACAGCGCCCTCTGGTGGTCATCGCAAGGTCAGCAGAATAGGTGAGTAAAATTACATTAAGGTCTCAGATTCTCTGCACCTTTTTCACAAAGCTGTGTTGGAGCGTCTCCCATACTCTTAAACAGAGGTTTAGTGGAACGGGGTCCAGGTGGTAGAGTATTGTCCATACTCTTAGACAGACTTACAATCACTGTAATTTTAAGATGGCTTGGTGGAACAGGGTTCTTTTGGTAGAGTATCTCTCATACTCTTAAAGGATCCAGATAGTAGAGTGTTGTCCATACTCTTAGACAGACTTACAATCACTGTAATTTTAAGATAGCTTGGTGGAACGGGGTTCTTTTGGTAGAGTGTCTCCCATACTCTTAAACAGATACTCTGTGGAGCAGGATCAAGATAGTAGAATGTCTTCCATACTCTTAGCCAGACTAACCACCGTAATCCTAAGAGAGCTTTGTGGAATGGGGTCCAGGTGGTAGAGTATCTTCCATACTCTTAGCCAGACTGACGATCACTGTAATCCTAAGAGAGCTTCTTGGAATGGAGCCCAAGTGGTAGAATGTCTTCCATACTCTTAGACAGACTTTGGATCACAGTGATCCCAAGATGGCTTTGTGGAATGGGGTCCAAGTGGTAGAGTATTGTCCATATTCTTAGACAAACTTACAATCATGGTAATGCTATGATGACTTTGTGGAACACGGGGTCCAGGTGGTAGAGTATCTTCCATAGTGTTAGGCAGATTTACGATCACTGTAATCCTAAGATGACTTTGGGTTAGAGGCAATAGGTACCCTGGTACTTCAAGTATTCTCATATGGCAGGCACCCAAGTTTGATTCATCAAATGGTTACCATGTAACGGTAAAGGTATTCTACTTAGACATACACACATTAAGCTAACAGGCTATAATAACTACACCCTTACTGTTTACATAAGACGTTGTCGGCGTACAGAGCTGAAAGAAGCACTAACACGTAGCTTTCAGTTCATTCATAGAGCTGTGTCCCCAATTCAGTCATTCATTTCCCTTTTTTAAGCACCTATTCTTTGAATTTGGAATATTTGAATAAAAATTGACTTGAATATCAACACTGACCTATCGTAAATCATAACTTGGAATAGATGATTTAAATGCACTGAGGTTTATTCAACTGAAGGGAAGCGATAAGACGCTTTGTACCGAGTCAATGTCGGGGAATGACGGGACCAGAGAATGCACGGAACACAGAACTTTTAATAGCTCTCATTCAGAACATTCTGACAGCTTCTGCGACATCTCCAGGCACACAGGAGTCCGATTTGTGTCAGGCTGAGGTAGCTGTTCACCTGAATGGTGTCCGTTAGTAATTAATGGCAGTTGTGTTCAAGATTTTGACAGTTACATATGATTGGTTGTGATTGATTGTGAAAAAGGAAATCATAGTGGATGTTCAGACAAGGTGAGCGTTAAACTTAGTGAAGCAGCCATCATGATAATATAGCGGAAATTTAAAACTGATGATGTTCAATTGAAAACAGTTTCCCTAATGCTTATTGAAAAAGGCAGATGCTAACATGATAACAATTTCCAAAGGTGTTCTTTTCAAGACAAAACAATCTCTGAGTGCCCTCCTTGCACATTTTGCCATTGGCACTATATTGCAAAGAGTTTTAAATTCTACATGATTTTGTTTGCTTCTCACTCTACAAATTGGTGGGGCGGTGGGGTAGCCTAGTGGTTAAAGTGTTCGCTCGTCACGCCGAAGGCCCGGGTTCGATTCCCCACATGGGTACAGTGTGTGAAGCCCATTTCTGGTGTCCCCTGCCGTGATATTGCTGGAACATTGCTAAAAGCGGCGTAAAACCGAACTCACTCACTCACTCACTCTACAAATTGGTTAAGGTTAATAGCTGATTATCATGGCATGAAGCAGCCTAAAATTATCCTAGTACATAAATGTGTGATATCATCTCTTGTGTTGGAATCTTCCTCGGAGAAGCTTCTCTGTCAAAAGCTTTCATATCCTTCAGCATTGGAAGACTGCCGACTATTGGTGACCCTAATTGTCAAGTCACATACATGAACTGTCAGTTGTTGACACTGAAACTCTATACTTTTGATTTGTGGCTTGAATGACTCATTCCTGCTTGTTGATTGTGAAAGGGGAGTTTGTCGGGTTAATTCTCCTACGTGGATATAGTGTGATATTTCCCCGACTTGGCATTACGGCAGTTGACGCCAGCTGTTGTTGAGGGTGTGGAATGCCGTTGATGTTGTGGAGGTCCCTGTGTGTTACCGGCGTATTGTTTGTGCTGACAGAGAGCGTATACACACATACACCTCACTAGCTGGAATGTTCATTGTTGGGAGATAATACCTAATGAATAAAGGTCTTGCGTCTTTTGTCCACAATGACGGGAAGCGATGATCCAGGTTTGGTTCCATGTGTGGAATCAGCAAATGAGATGGTTTAAAGCACAGGGATTTAGGCTCATAATATATGTACCGTTTAAAGATGAAAGGTTAGGATTGTACCATGGTCAAAATTAAATACTCATGTGGTATTAAGGATTTATAACATTGACCTAGAATTGGGGTTGGTCACTAAAAGAGTAGTCAATCAGAATAAATGCTGGTGTGGTATAAATAATATGTAACATACACGGACATTTTGGATTACTGGTTGTATCAGACAGTCCTGAATACTGGTATGGTTTCAAGGATTTATAACCTGCACCTACAGTTTGGGTTTTTACCCAAATGAATACTTGACTGTCAAACAGAATAAAATGCTGGTATGGTATAAACAATATTTATCATCCAAAACTGTGTTCCACAGGAGATATCGCTTGTGTGAGATCAGACGATATCTCCTAGGAGATATCGTTTTGACAGTAGATTTTGTACAATGCCCTGACAATGTATTGTTGGGTGTACGAGGTGTGTGTATTGTTGGGTGTAAGAGGTGTGTGTATACGAGGTCTCCCAAGCACATCAATAATCGCTGACACAGGGTTTTGTTGTGTTTTACTGTGTTTTTTATGTTAGTATGGGAACAGTTGTTGACTAGTTTACCAGACTGGCCAGAATGTTACCAGATTCAGTCTTCAGGTTATTCCCTGGAGTCTTACACTATCCACGTGTTGCTGTTAATGGTATTACATGATTGTCTTAGGGTTGCACTGGGGTAGGTTAATGTTACTCTCAGACCATGTAGAGTAAGACTTAGATTCCTGGGCTGAGTATTGTAAGCTATCTTGAGACTGTTAACCCTGTTTGACACAGTATCAGTGCAGGGAATAGTATTATAGACTGGGATTATAGGCGATTGTGCATGACTGATTTATTGTACAGAGGTACTTGTAATTCTTGTATTTGTTGAGGTCATCAGTAGGAATGTGGAGCTGACAGTTGGCCAGTGTGTGAATCCCGAGGGATTGCTGATATACGAGGCCTGTGCATTGTTGGGTGTACAAAGTCTGTGTGTATTGTTGGGTGTACGAGGTGTGTATTGTTGGGTGTACGAGGTGTGTATTGTTGGGTGTACCAGGTGTGTGTGTTGTTGGATGTACGAGGTGTGTGTATTGTTGGTTGTGTGAGGTCTGTGTATTGTTGGGTGTACGAGGTCTGTGTATTGTTGGGTGTACGAGGTGTGTGTATTGTTGGGTGTATTGTTGGGGGTGTGTGTATTGTTGGGTGTATGAGGTCTGTATTGTTGGGTGTACGAGGTGTGTGTATTGTTGGGTGTAAGAGGTCTGTGTATTGTTGGGTGTATGAGGTCTGTATTGTTGGGTGTACGAGGTCTGTGTATTGTTGGGTGTACGAGGTGTGTGTATTGTTGGGTGTACGAGGTGTGTGTATTGTTGGGTGTACGAGGTGTGTGTGTTGTTGGGTGTACGAGGTGTGTGTATTGTTGGTTGTGTGAGGTATGTGTATTGTTGGGTGTCTGTACGAGGTGTGTGTATTGTTGGGTGTATACGAGGTGTGTGTATTGTTGGGTGTCACGAGGTGTGTGTATTGTTGGCTGTCACGAGGTCTGTGTATATTGTTGTTGGGTGTATTGTGGTATGAGGTGTGTGTGTATTGTTGGGTGTACGAGGTGTGTGTGTTGTTGGGTGTACGAGGTGTGTGTATTGTTGGGTGTACGAGGTGTGTGTATTGTTGGGTGTACGAGGTGTGTGTATTGTTGGGTGTACGAGGTGTGTGTATTATTGGGTGTACGAGGTGTGTGTATTATTGGGTGTACGAGGTGTGTGTATTGTTGGGTGTACGAGGTGTGTGTATTATTGGGTGTACGAGGTCTGTGTATGATACAGTGGTTGATAGTGATGGTTTGTCCTGTTACAATTCACTAGAATTAGTTGAATCGAACCATATCCTTTTATGAATTCACTTCATTATTCATAGTTACTAGAGTCAAATACTGAGAGTGTTTTTACTTGGAACTATAGTCCGTTTGGCTCAAAAGCAGACCGATGAATTGCAATCTAACTCGAAAACTTATAAACATAAAATACTCAATGAAACACTGATCATAATGAAAACGTCAGACCAACTCTGAGAGGTGTTTGCAGAATTTATGTCCTAAAATTAAAAAAGTTGTTTAACAAACTATCATTAAAATATCGACACAGTTCACTATTTGTTATGAGGGAGGAGTGCAGAGAAAGGGACAGCCGGATGTGCTATAAAGGATGCACAGGCTAATGAATTAATAACTTGGTGGGCACTTGTGCTCGTGCTTTTCTTACACCTGGCTGTCCCTTTCTCTGCACTCCTTCCTCGTAACAAATAGTGAACTGTGTCAATATTTTAATGATAGTTTGTTAAACAACTTTTTTAATTTTAGGACATAAATTCTGCAATCAAATCACAGAGTTGGTCTGATATTTTGATTATGATCAGTGTTTCATTGAGTATTATATGTTTATTAGTTTTTGAGTTAGATTGCAATTCATCGGTCCGCTTTTGAGCCAAACGCACTATAGTTTGTTGTTTACCTTAGTGAGATATGCAAAAATGGAACCCATCCAAACCACACAGTGGTGTAACTTGTGTCATTTTGCTAAGGCCCCAGTAATTAGGGGCCGTTGGGGTAGCTTAGTGGTTAAAGCATTCGCTTGTCACGCCACCGGTTTGATTCCCCACATGGGTACAATGAGTGAGGCCCATTTCTGGTGTTCCCTGATGTGATATTGCTGGAAGATTGCTAAAGGCAGCATAAATCCATACTCACTCACTCACTGACTCATTCACATTGTTCACAATGGATTTCTCCTTTTACTTTGAAGAAAATGTCATTTATATGTTTCAGTTTAAGCGATTACACGACATGTTTGTTTTTTAATTTGCTGATATTAACATGAAGTATTCATGAATAAATTTCAAATTTGTTACTGTATATTCGTAAAAACATATTGTATTTGTCACAGTTCTAGAGATTTTTGTTACATTGACTTTCATAGTGCAGTAGTGATTCATGTCTTGGCATGTGTATTTCAGATGAGAAGTATCATGAGGAAGGTGACCCTCAAGGACGAGTAGGATCACGGAAAACAGACAGGGAGTCTCGTTCTCGAGCACGGGATGGATACCGACAGGATTACTATGGCAGCCGTGATGTAAGGATGGGTAGCCCAAAGCGAGTTGACTTCTCGCATAACCTTCACCTTCGTGAAGTGAACACAGATGGGACATATCTGGATAGTGTTGCCCACCAGGAGTCTTCCACAGCATCGTCCGCTCAGTCCCTCGACGTCCAGTCCACGCTCACGGACAGTCGTGCCATCCGGGAGACAGAGCTTCGCTTCTTGAACGATCACATTCCATCATCACGGACTTACCAGGATGTGAGATGGGATGGGACACGTTTGTCACGTGTCAATGTTCAAGTTCCGACGGGTACCATGAGAAATGGAAGGACTAGAACCGAAAATCTTCCAAATAATTTCGCTAGCGAACATAGTGATGGTGGCTTAGATAGGCGAAGAGAGGACTCTGGGAAGCAGAAACGGGTGAAGAAATCACTGAAGGACTTACCTGACAATAATGGTGAGTTTCCTGTTTCATTTTCGGAAACTTGACAGTTTTCAGATTGAAAATAGACGCATGTGTTTCTGATGTATTACTTTAATCCAGGGACCTAAGTCTTTACTTTGCAAGATTAATGTTATCCACAGAATCCAGGGTCCAGTTCAACAAAGTGGTCTCAGTCCTTTTTGATGTATTATCCCGGTGTCAGGGGTTTTCGACGATGTAAGACATTAACATATTTTTTTTCTGTAATATCATTTATAGTTTGTATTTTACTAACCTTGAGTGATAAAGGATATTTTCATCTATTTCACACAAAAATATCAAGTGTTCCCTACAAAAATAGTGTTGATGGTATCGTATCGGCAAAACTGTTGCCGCTCGTAACATCCGGGTATTTTGTATGGGTTTTCGACGATGAGCAATACTTTTTGCGCCGCACTGCTAGGGAGTGTTGTGATCATGTGGCTTCCTATTTATATATTGCCTGTCACCAGCAGACGACTGATCTAACTGAATTTTCGCTTGCTATTTTTTGTTATAAAGGGAACTGATTTTGCATCTAAAGTGGTAATAACGATCTCGGGTAAATAATATTGATGTTTGTTTGCTTTTTATATAACTTTACTTCCCGATTTCCATTGTCAATAAAACTTCTCACGACAGCGACTTGGCAGCCGCCCTACCAGTGAAACTGTTTGTGCACTCCGATCGCACACGTACTCCCCCGATATAGCGCATGCAATGCAATTGTCGAAATCACCAGAACGTCAAATTCCGCTTTTGTTGGGATACCTTAACTCAGGGAATATACTTTTCAAGATTAAGGTTATATACGTTATAGACTTTCAATAGTCATAATGCTAAGATCACTTTGTGGACCTGGGCCTTTGACTATTGGTATTTCCAACTGTATCCAACATACCCCTTTATTCCAGATGGTATTGTATACACAACCGCAATGCTCATACCTTAACATCGACATATTTTAGTTGTTCTAATATCTGACTTTGTGAACATGGTCCCTGGTTTATTTCCGACACTATCCAACAGATCACTTTATTCCTGTATTGTATATATGACCGTAACTCATACCTAACATTGACCTGTTATAGATGTAGCTCTAAGATCACCTTGTATCATAAGCCTATATTAAAGTATCCTGGTTGTGATAAGATCACCTTGTGGAATTGGGGGTCTTTATGGGACACCATTCAGCATATCCTTTTATCCCAGAGCCCCGTTCCATGAAGTGATCCCATACTTTAATATATGCTTATCATAGTTTCAACTCTAGAAGCACACTGGGGTTCCAGGTCTGTTAGGGTTTAGCCAATGGTCTGTTAGGCCAAGACCAGGTTCATTTCCCACATGGGCTACCACAAGGTAACCAATGAGGTTGTCAATATGGAAAATTGGTCAAGTCTGTTAGGGATTTAACAAGGTTTTGTCATGATTTCTGGTGTTTGAACTGACACCTGGACACATTTTCTGTTTGGGTGCAGTGGCATTTTGGTCCGAAGGTTTGAAGCCATTATCATCTGTAGTTTTTGTGTGCACCATATATAGAACATCCACAGCTAGAACAGGACATTGACATGGTCAAGATGGAACTCAGACCATTACCACTGTTACCACTGGTTGCTTTGTAGTTTAACTGAGGCATATTCCAGCTATATGGTGGCGGTCTGTAAATAACCAGACCAGACAATCCAGTGATCAACATCATGACCATAAGTCCGCGCAATTGGGATACGATGACAAGCATCAACCAAGTCAGCGAGCCTGTCCACCCGATCCCGTTAGTCCAGTTAATCGCCTCTTACGACAAGCATGGGTTACTGAAGACCAATTCTAACCCAGATCTTCACGGGAGACAAGCATGGGTTACTGAAGACCAATTCTAACCCAGATCTTCATGGGGGAGACAAGCATGGGTTACTGAAGACCAATTCTAACCCAGATCTTCATGGGGAGACAAGCATGGGTTACTGAAGACCAATTCTAACCCAGATCTTCACGGGGGAGACAAGCATGGGTTACTGAAGACCAATTCTAAGCCAGATCTTCACGGGAGAGACAAGCATGGGTTACTGAAGACCAATTCTAACCCAGATCTTCACAGGTATCACCTCTAAGGACCCTTTGTTAGCACTGGCCATATTAATGGATCAGGCGGTCAAGCTTGGTGCCTAAACATGCTGAAGTCAGGATAGTTTGGTCCACTACAAGTATTTTGAGGATGCTGCTAGAATATTACTGAATGCCTGTTAACAACCAACAAACACAGCTAACATATTCACAAATTAAAACTGCAAATGACCAAGAAATGAAAAGGTTGTTAGTGACAGCCATGTTTGTAGGGTGTGTGGTCATGAGGCTGTGCCCGATTTAGAGTCATCGATACCTTGATGGTGTGGACATTTTTCATTCCAACTCTCGCTGGTTGTCTGGCTTTGACATGTTTATTTAGAGTGTGGCATGATGTGACTGGAATACTACTGTCTTCTACGTGAAGCAACAATTAACCCAATCTTTTTATGTCTACCATTATGTCTCAAACATGACTGTGAACAAGATTGAAATATCCGTCATGATTGTTGAAGTGTCCACTTGCTGTATCCTCAGGATTCCAGGTGTCAGTGTTTCTTTGAAGAATGTGACCTGCGTAGATGGCTCTATGACAGGTAGTGAGAGGCTTGATCAATATGGTATTATATTGTGTACCCAATACATATTGAGTCTTATCTCCCAGTAGGGATTTACGAGTATTTATAACACAGGTGGACAGTAAAGATAATCTGACCCTCACCTTCCTGGGGGTGAACCACACTGCAACATGGTAGTAAACTCTTCAAGATGTATGGCATAGAAATGTTTAGTGGAAGATCGTGTAAATGGCACATGTTGTGATAAGCTCAATATTGAGGCCAGATACTTTTATACTTCTGTTTACATATTTGACACACAGAGCCTATACAGTCAGAAAACATGATGAGATTTAATTTGGATATATTTTGTGGGCTTCCAAAGCCCTTTCTTGGGATTTGGAGTGAAAAAAAACCCACATAACAATAAAATAGTCATTAAATTCTTTGATAATATTTTTTTATTCATTGTATATTGTTTGAACACTTGCAGACACCATTATCCCAGCTGTGTTGGTTGGCAGGTTGATTTTTTGTTTTTCTATAAATGCATTCTTCGGGATTTGTTCGCTCATGTTTAAGTTTGATTTGATTGGTTGGAGATACGACATATTAAATCTTTTACTGGTTTAGGTCCTTATAAATATATAAAATCTGACATTTTGTTTTATGGATTGGTGGGCATGACATTTGATTAAGATTTAACATTTATATATTACTTTTCATGCGAAAAAAAATCTCATCATATACATATAGCTTGGATTATTCTTATTGTCAAAGTGATCTTTACTGCCAGCAGTGAAAAATAGCCTTGTAATTATTTATTGCTTTTGTTTTAATGTTTTTATTTTAAGGTCAGCAGATCCATTAACCAAGTTAAGAATGACATAAAACTCATGGTAATAAAACCTTTTCTGATGGGTAGATACATTCACTTGTTAATGTAAAACTTGTTAATATCCTTCACTAAGAATTAACATTGACCAATAAACAAATAGCTACATGGCTCAAATATCCTAAGTACTTAAGTGCTCCAAATCGATTTTATTTTTTATTTTTAGCCCTACCCATGCCAAATGATAAGAAATAAGTCATGAAGAAAGTGCAGCCTTTGTGCTGTTGTTTGGAGTTGTATTCTATCCATGTTGTCTGGTGTTGATTCCCATGTTGAAACTGCAAAAGTCAGCCTGGAGAACTAGGTGTGAAACAACAATACAAATACTTTGTAATTTGGGGTGCTGGGGTAGTATGTGTTTAAAGCGTTTGCTCGTCCTGCTGTAGATCCGGGTTCGATATCCCCACATGGGTACAATGTGTTAAGCCCATTTCTGGTGTCCCCCACCGCGATATTGCTGGAATATTGCTAAAAGTGGCGTAAAAGAAACTCAATCACTCACTCACACTTTGTAATGTAAAATTGTATTCTAAATCAACAAATCAAATGAAGTAAGAAAATATCAGTCATCTTATGGTATCAGGAAAGATAAACATTTCCATTAGTCAGTTAGTCCAGGATCCCGGACTTGTGGAAATTGAGAAGGACTTTGTGTTGTATAATGAGCCTCATATCGCGATACCGTACTGTATTGTATCGTTACACCACTATTGGTGCCTAAGCTTGGAAGGGTTCGAAGGGCATGCTACAAGAGTTGTCGGAATCATGTGGTAACAGAGTGTTCGATGTCCTTGCCACCGATGGGACAAACTAGAGCAACATTACTCACACACTGCCAGGCAGCCCGTCACAGACCTCGGCCCTAACATTGTTAGCCCGGGGCAAGATCAGCGCCAATATTTATCACACTTGAGAAATTGCTTTGATAAAACCCTGCACAGCATAAGAGTTGGATAAACAGGGCCTGTGAGTGTGTCGGAATGCATGGAAGTATAGAATCAATCCTGCCAAGTTCACCTACAGGGGTACATAGGGGAACAAACAACCACTGCTTAATGAAATCACTCAGCCCAGGCTGTCATATATCTAACACCTGTCCAATTATCTCAGTCCTCTTGCTATTGTAAGTAAACAGCTATGGAGTTTCCCATTAAAGTACTCAAAGTGGAATGGCCACCTTTACTGTTTGTCTAATCACATTATGGTTAAATTTAAACAAGATGGCTTTTTTTCAAGATTAATGTTGTTTATTTTGCCCTAATGGCTTGTTGTCTCCGGGCTGTTCTTTGTGTAAACCATGGAAGCCAGCCAGGTTTTGCCATCGGAATTAGTTCTGTCATGTGACTCGATATCACGTACATCAAGGTTATACAAAGTGTACAGAATCAGGTTAACATTTGCTCAGCTAAGTAACTGACAATTAAACGTTTCAAATAGGTGATCAGATTTGTACCACCAGCTTTGAGTGAACTGGG